CTTCTGAGTCTTCTACAGAGTGAGCGTCGTATTCCTGAGCCTGATATGGCTCAGAATCATTATCACTGATAAGTTCAGAGTTACTTTCGGATGCAGTTAGGCCTTCTTCAGTTGGACTTGGGTTGTCACTGAGAACATGCCAGTCATCGTCACTGGAAGGATTACCGATTTTGCGGTCAAGAGACTTACTGGAAGAGCGGTCTCCAGGAAACACGACCCACTCTTGATCAGAACCTGAAGCTTCTTCTGAATCACTAGTTGCATAGTGAGTTTGAAGTCGAAGAGGTTTCTGTTTGTAAGTCGCCATATTAAAAAGTGTGGAAGAAGTGTGAAAGCGTGAGTTAAGATAAAATTCGATTCACCCTGACACGGGTCACACGGATGGGGCAGATCAGGTTCTTATCCTGTTCAATTGTATTATAAATCAAACTAATGATGCATGACTTAATTCATTCAAAAATGCTAATGCACTAACGGTAATTTTATGACGTGTTAATTTTGTGTAAATTATTTAAGAGGGTATTATTTATAAATTATATATATCGATATGATGATATTTTGTTTTGTTCTTTTAAATTAATCAATATTTTGTTAAGAAAACTAAGTAAAAAATTATAGAGTAGGTTTTTCTGATTCTAATAATAACAAAATTATTATATTTGGATAAACTCGGCGAGATATAATTATTTGAAGGTTTAGATAGTATAAATTGTTTACGATCATATGACATCAACCAAGAAATCGATGTATCATGAAGGTTGTGTTGTATATTGTTAGACAAATTATTGTCCGGAGAGAAGCAATGTCGTTCCGTAACTACCCCAACTCATGGAGATTTCGTATATCACCATGTGGGCATTAATCACCAAAAATTTATCAACATTAAAATCTCTGTCCTAATAGCCAATCAAGAATACGGAGTAGATTCTTATAATATATATTTTATTGAATTAACTTTAGGGTTAGGGCCATCTTATATTAGAGTTAGGTTAAGTTTTAGGTGGTTATATTGCCTTCCCGACATTTTTAATTAACCCACCCGAGACTGCCGTTTTTTGTATTTTTCAGGTTTGCTTCGTCAAAATTATATAATTTGATTGGTCATGTGTCATGTGATTCTGCTCCGCTGCAAAACTTTCCTTTTTTGATACCCCAAAATTTTTATACTTAAATAACGATTTGATGTAGTGTACGTAACACAATCTGGAAAATTCAAAACAAACATTCGTTTTAGCCAAAATTGGCTGTTATTAAAAATCCCGTACAAGAAACCACCTTTTATGGGGGACGTCTAAAGCGGAGATAAATTATATAATTAATATTTATTGAATTAGCTTTAGGGTCAAGGTCATCTTATATTAGGGTTAGGTCAGGTTTTAGGTAGTGATATATATGCAAAATTGCCTTCCCGACATTTTTGCTTAACCTACCCAAAGCAGGTTTCGACTGCCGTTTTTTTTATTTTTTCGGTTTTTCATTTTCTTTCTTGTATTGCTGTAAATTAAATTGTCTACGCTCTAATTAGTTTATTTAAGGTTAGTATTTACATAAAAGGGGGTCGTCTAAAGTGGAGATAAATCATGTGACTATCGGCAAATCAAATTGTAGAATTTTGATGATCGTCGGCGAAGCAATACTGCATTATCTTTTTAAAAAAATCGTTGCATGTAAAATACATCTATTGTGGCAGATTAAAATGAAATCGGATTAAAATGAAATGAAGGATAGTGTAAAATAGACAAGCTACCGAAAAATACAAATTTTTGGGGAGCATTTTTTTAGCATTTTTTTAGGTTTAGGATTATGGTTTAGAAGCAAGTTTTATAATAAACAAGTATAAGTGGGTTTTAGGGGATCAAATAGAAACCCTTCATTTCATTTTAATCCGATTTCATTATGATCTGCGACATTTATTTATTGTTTTTTTTAAAGAATAACTCATCATATAAATATCGGTTTAAAAAATATATACAGTATAATCTCGATATAACGAACCTCGATATAGCGAATACTAATTGTATAACGAAGGTCATTTCAAATTTTTATATTTGAATTAGCCTCGATATAACGAATCTATAAGAAATTTAGATATAACAAAGAAAAACCTCCAGCTCCAGAGCTTCATTATATCGAGGTTATACTGTATAATCTTTTGTTAAAAACTTGCGCAACCAGGCTATAACTAAGAAGTATAAAAATATATCAAACTTTATGTGGGCCGTTCTTTAAAGGATAGTTATAATACAGTGCAGACAACCTAGTCCCAACAAATAAAATTGATAAAATTCAAATTGCTAATCTTTCTTTAAAAAAAATAGTAAACAAAAAATACTATCTTAAAATGTTAAATCAAAACAAGCTAAACACTTCTAAGTTCTTAAATTTTTTTTAAATCTATTTATAAAAAGTTATAGTAAATTAAAGTTATAGCATTTTTATAATTAAATATGAAATTTGGCCATCTTTTATATATGTTGTACCCCAAATGATAATCCTGTCCTGATTGCCAATTGGAACAGCCCAATTTAAAATTGCCCAAATCTAACCTTAACGTCTGGGCTAATTAATTTATAATTTTGGCCAGATTGTTATCTGGGAAAATTGTCATTTGAGGCACGACATATATATAAAAAAAAGCAAATTTGGCCTCGTTAAACAATTAATTTAATTTCATATATATTAAATTTTTAATATTTAGTCACTTTATATATAAATATTAGCTAATTTTCAAATTGGTCTCTTCATATATATAAAAATAAAATCTGAATTTGGCTGCTAAAAATTTTATTTGCTGTGTCTAGGTTGTCCACACTGTATTCATTTTTTTTAGTTTACTGGTAATTTGCATATAATATCAGTATCAAGTATATCAAAAATGAAGTTGCGCTTTAAATCTTTCTGCATCACCAACAAAATATATTTAGTAGCTAACCTACCAAATTTTTTCTGAAATGTGATTTTTAGCCAATTAGATCGAAAGATCAGATGTAATGTAAAATCAAAACAATTAAATATATAAAAGCAAAACAATCGAATAAGCAAAAGATTTAATGCAATAAATATTATCTTAGAGTTAGGATTAAGATCACAGAATGAACATAGATTATACTAAAATTTTGCAAAGAATTTTTTTTGTTAGAACATATAAAGCAGTTTTATATACAAAATTTCAAGTTATTGGCAATTTTTGTAAAAGGCATAATTTTCATATTACATCTGATCCTTCAATCTAATTGGCTAAAATCACATGCCAAAAAAAATTTTGTGGGTGAGCTAGAGGGTTCAACAAAATTGTGCAATTACGTGATGCTCAATAAAATTAAAATTGTGCAATCATATGATGTTCAATAAAATTGTTTTAAAATTAAGGAAATTTTTCAAGGAATTTTTTTTGTTTTGAGTTTTTTATAAACAAACATTTATTTAGTGTTACAAATTGGCAAAATTTTTTCAATCGATTAGTTGGTTAATTATTTTTCTAGTTGGTTGCAACTAATTGATTAATCGATAAGTTGCAACTAATCAATTATTGCAGTTTGCAAAATTATATGAAATTTGAAAATCAATAAAAAAAAAAATTGCTATTTCTACTCTATTTTTGCTAATACCACCCCCAAAATTTAAAAAGTGCTTCAGAAGAGGTATTATTATTAAAAAAACCTTTCTTTATAATCTTAATAAAAGTTGTTCATCAGGCTTTCTGGTTCTAATAGTAGTAAAATCATTAAAATTGAACTAGTAGTTCCTAAGATATTTATATTTGAAGTTAGTAACTTTTATTTATATTTAAAAAAAACTATTAGTCTGATTTTAATAATTTTATAACTATTAGAACTGGAAAGACCTGATAAACAACTTTTACTAAGACCAAAAAAGGTTTACTTAATAACAATACCTCTTTCTGAGCACCTTTTGATATATGGGGGTGGCATTAGCAAAAATAGGGGGTGGAAATAGCAACTCTCGATTACTGATTTTCGATTTCTTGAACATTTTTTTTTTGTTTTTTAGACTAGACAAAATTTGCGCATTTATCATTTGCAAAAATTTGATTGGATATTTTAATGCGCAACTCCTATTTTTGCAAATATATTAAAAAATGATGAATATGAAATTTTTATTTCTATAAAAAATAATAAAATTTTTACAAAATAATGGATACGCAAAGTTTGTCTAATCTAAAAGTCAAAAAAAATGTTGAAATCGGAAATCATTAATCAGAAATTAGTGATTACCTTTTTTTTTTAATGATCTTAAAATTTCACATAATTTTGCAAACCGCAACTAATCGATTAATCGATTAGTTGCGACTAATTCATTAAGTAAATAAATAATTTTTCAATCGATTCATTTGCAACAATCGATTAATTCTTTAGTCGATTAGTTGCAACTAATCGATTAGTCGATTAATCGATTAATCGATTAGTTGGTGTCTAAAAATTTCAATCGATTAGTTGTCGACTAACCAACTAATCGATCTTTTCAACTTTCGATTTGTAACACTACGTTTGTTTTGATCGCGTGATGTTACATCAAATCAAGATTTTATTGGATAATTTGTTGGCGATCCTGGGTATTTCCGCTTCTATAAATAATACAATCCCGATATATTCCGTTTAGTCGGGCTGATCCGTGTTGATTGTTGATTTCTTCGGTTTGATTGGCTAATCATCTGATGTATGTGTGCCAGGTTTGTGGCGCAGTCAAAATTCTTTAAAGTTCGTTTAAGGTTAGGGCTTTTACAGTATTATGGTTAGAGTTTATAAAGGTATGTAGTAAAATTACTCAAGGAAAACTTTTTGTTAATGCGCGAAGAGTAGTTTATATGCAATTTTTCAAGAAATATGCAATTTTTGACGAAATGACCGTTCGTTTTGTTCGTGTTATGCCGCACCTGGCCTGATTCGTAGTTCAGGCAATCTGCGCCACAAACCTGGCACACATTCAAAAATAAATATAATCGAGTAGATCTATCTGATATACATTTCATTATCGAAAAAATGGTACATTTATGGCTTCGTGCAGAAACCAAGCCGAAAGAACATCGAGCAGCTCTGACTCCTTCTTCTTGTAGAGTTTTAATTCAAAATGGTAACGAGATTAAATTTTCCATAATTATAATTTACTCACGGTAGTATTAATCTTTATTATTTAATTTTTTTTTTTTAGGTTTTCAAATCACTGTTGAAAGATCTACGGAACGAATTTTTAGCGATGAAGAATATGAGCGGTAAAAATTCTAACCATTGAATTTAAATGTGAAAAGTCTTTTTTCCTTATAAAATTTGGGTTGGTCGATTTTATATTAATACATGATAAAAAATGCAGAGAAGGATGTACTTTAGTCCCTTTTGGAACTTGGAAAACTGCACCTTCTGATGCTTACATTACTGGTCTTAAAGAACTTCCAGAGTATGATAATTCGCCACTCTCACATTCTCATATCTTTTTTGCACATTGTTACAAGAACCAGAGTGGCTGGCAAGATATCATTAGAAGGTTTGTGCAAGGCAATGGCATTCTTCTTGATCTAGAATTTTTAACGGATGAGAGAGGTGGGTTTTAATATGTACTGTAACTCTCCCCGAAATTTAATAAATGACATTTGATCTTTATTTAGGTCGGCGTGTAGCTGCATTTGGTTATCATGCGGGATTCGCCGGTTCTGCTTTAGGCCTTGATGTTTGGGCTCAACAACAAATTCACCCTGGACAAAAGTATCCATCGGTTGAGCATTTTCCTAATGAGAATGATTTGATCACTTATGTAAAAGATCGATTGAATAAAGCAAGTGAGTTATTATATCCATTACTTCCGTGACCTAGACTATAATCTTATACATATTGTCTTAAAAAGTCAGCATTAAAGGATACACACCACGTATCATGGTCGTGGGTGCTCTTGGTAGATGTGGTAAGGGAGCAGCAGAATTTGCACGCAAAGTCGATATTCCTGAGTAAGTTTCAGATGCATATTTTTTTACTTTCTTAAGTAAATTCATCGCATTTATATGCCTTTTCAGAGAAAATATTATTAAATGGGATCTTGAAGAAACAAAAAAAGGAGGTCCATTTCCGGAAATTCTTGAAGCAGACATTTTTGTAAATTGTATTTATCTTAGTCAAAAAATACCACCATTTCTCACTAAAGAAATGTTGGATTCACCAAGAAAACTTTCTGTGATCGTTGATGTAAGCTGCGATAATACCAATCCTAACAATCCGATCCCAGTTTATACCGGTAATACTTCTTTTGGTAATCCGACCATTGCGGTGGAAACTAAGTATGTTTGCCTTTACATTGCTCAATATTATTGTAGAAAACATTCTAAATTCTTTATTGTGTTCTACAAGAAATACACATCCTCTAGATGTTATTTCAATTGACCATCTACCAACTTTATTGCCTAGAGAAAGTAGCGAACAGTTTACAACAGATTTACTTCCTACTTTACTTGAGCTAACTAACCGTGATACTGCTAAAGTATGGGTTGATGTTGAGAAGATATTTAGGCAAAAAGCTTCTTTAATAGACTCCTAATTGTGAGGTAATTTCCTTTTTATTTACATACATCTGCATAAACTAAATAGTTTAGTTTTATCATATTCATAATTGTAATATGATTGAGTGATAATCTTCCTCAAGACCTTTGAAAGTTTCTTCCAATTTTTGTATACGTTCTGCCCTGTCCAGTTGTCTCAATATATCCTACATTATAGAATTAAAATGGTTAATGGGATTAGGTTTGATATCAGTCATTAAGAAAGTAAATATAAAAACAATTAGCAAACCTCATTCCAGAGATACAACCGTTGCTTGACTTGCAACCGATACGCCTTATAGGCAACAGGATCTGTCTTGTTTAAATTCCGTAACAATTCAATTTCTATACATCTTGCCATTTGTCTCTGATTATAGTATCAAATTAATGAAAATAATTAGTACCAACATCTTTTTTAAACACTATGTAATATTATCTTTACCTTATTTAATTTGTATTTTTTCTGCAATTCATTAAATACATTTCTGTCTACAGGTGCCTTGAGGCCTTCAAGAGCTTTATTTTCTCTCAAGAACCGTATATCATTTTTATCGCGAATTTCTTGAAATTTGTCACTTGGATCTTCAACTATTATAGTAATATATAAATAAGATTATTTATTGATTACAATTATCAAACTATTTAACTAGCAAATTTATTGACTAACCAGTGATATCTTTTATTCTGGGATCAGCTAAGAAACTTTGGTAGAGAGCCTGATAGAATTTATCTTCAACAAAGTTCAATAATTAATAAAATAATTTCAACCTTGAGCCACTTAATTAAAACTTACTTCCATGACCTTCTCGTTGATAATGCGGGAGGATTAAAAACTGACTGTATCAGTAAGCCATTATATCAGGATTATGATTATCATCAAAAACGGAAAATGGGATACATATTATGTAATGTGAGTACCTGATTCTCACTCGTATATTATCTCGAATTTGTCCACCTTGATTAATGCTCATATGCAATGGTAGTTTATTATTGGCATTGGCATTCGTATGATTCTCGTTAGAATTTCCCGCGCTAGTTAAAAAGTAATACAAGTACATCGTACAATAACCTACAATGCTATATACTTTGCTATCACCCACGGTTTTTTTCTCAAATCTATCCTCATTAGAATTTAAGATAAAACATGTTAGACTAAATATCGTTTCTGTTTATACAATATACATACATTAGTGCAATTTCCCATTTGTCATCTTCCTCGTCAATATATGATCCAGCTTCTATATAAAACAATACAAATATTTGTAATCGCCTGTGAAACTCTTTAAAGCGAGGAGTCGAAAATGTTGCCTGTGATAAACAGTAAATGTGATGATATATGAATTGCAAAATTCATAATCGAGTATTAGATGCTTATCAGCAAGTATAGATCTTTGCCTTATAAATTTCATATACTCTATCATCATCATTAAGACGATATTCTGAAATTTTCTCTCCAAAAGGTTTAAAATTTTCAGAATCAGATTTTATAGTTTGCAAAAAAGTGTCGTGATTTGTAATAAAATCTTTATTATTTTAAAAGTTATTTTAAAAGAATTAATTAGTAGTAATAAAAAAAAATACAAAATTTTGATAAAATTATGATTTCTTTTACCATTAGGTATGAATTCTTTGATCCTTTCTACTAC